TGCTCTTCCAAAATTGCATATATATAAGATGTACAACATGATGTTTTGAGATATATATATATATATATATATATATACATACAGTGAAATTATTACTATAGTCAAGAAAATTACTACGTCCATCACCTCACATATGTTACTCTTTTTATCTTGTGTTAAGAATACCTAAAATCTACTTTCAGCAAATTTTTATTATACAATAAAATATTAATGATTTTAATGCTGACATTGTACATTAGATGTCCACACTTATTCATCCTACTGAACTTCAGCTTTGCTTCTTTTGACCTACATCTCCCTGTCTATCTCCTAGTCTGAACCCCTGACATCTATCATTCTACTCTTTGTTTCTATACATTCAACTTTAAAAACAAGATTTCACCTATGAATAACATTGTGTAATATTTGTCCTCTGTATCTGGCTAGTTCACTCAAAGATTCAACTATGTGTAAACACTTCTTTCAATTTCAATTGAGAATGCCCCCTTCACCTCATTAGAAAATTAAGACCTTTAACTTCAAGTTCTCTACATTACATCTCAACCATGTATTATATCTGCTCATCTTCGTCCTTTTTGTTTTCTTAGGAAAACTGTTGCACTTTTAATAGTTATTATTCCTTTAACCATGACTCTGCAGGAACTTGTTCCACTAATTTATTCCCACTTCTTTGGTATGTTTTAATTCTCTCTTGGTCTCTTTCTTGTAAGCTACAAGACTTCCCTATGCTAAAAATACCTTCTGGTGCTTCTGATTGTGCCTGTACACATAGTCACAATCTTATAGTTCTCCTTATTTTCTCTTCTAAATTTCTCAGAAGACCAATACACATTTGTTGCTTTTAATTCCTCACAACTTACTTACTTCTTAACCATATGGAGTGTATCTCAATAGTCTGTGTGGCATTTACACTGTTGACCTCACTTGCTTCCTCTAGCAATGCAGGGTATCAAGAAGAGGTGGATTCTGTACTCTCTTCTTCTTGATACTGTATTTTCCTATTTTGTTTTGATCTACCAGCCCCTGCTAAAGAAGGAATACTTGAATTTTTTGATACAATTTCTTTTTCTACTTGATACTCTTTCTCTAGAGATGTTCACTTACCCCTTTGAGGGGAGAAATTGTCTTTAAAAATTATAGTCATGATTATTGAGTATCACATTTACTTTAAAACATCTTCTGGACACCTTCAAATTTACCATGAACAAGATTTTACTCAGTATTTCCTTTCTAATTTTAACTTGGTTTCATGTCTTGATTTATAACATGGTTAACTTTTCAGTCACTCAGGCATAGTGTATTAATTCATTTCCACAATTTTTCACATTTCTTATGTTTTAATGAGACGTGCGCTTCCCTATTGCCTAAGACACCCAGGACCATTTCTCTACTTGAGATCGTCATAATGTTTGTCTTAGGCTACTAGAATAACATCATATAGCAACTTCCTTGACTAGGTTGCCTGACTTATTGTCAAAAAGTCATAAAATCCAAGAATTTTGCAATTCTTTTCTCTTTCAAATCGCTAATATATTTGTTTTCAGTGATTTATGTCACATTGCATGCCTGACATTCCTAGTCATCCATGATCTGATTCTATCAAACCTCTGCAATTGTAACTTGTACTGTATGCCCTCTGACTATCTGCAAACTTGGTATATTGTTCTTTCAGGTGCCTGCATTTCCTTCAACCAAAACAGCTATGCCCATTTAATCATCTCTCAAAATTCTACTCATTCTCTAAGGCTCAACTAAAAGAGCAGCTTCTTAATGGCTAGCTCCCCTGACACTTTCAGCACAGCGACACTACTTTTCCAATTCAGGCATAATTAAACTCTGCATATTTCAACCAAACACTACATTGTTAGAGAAATTTTATAAAAAATTATCAGGAAGTTAAAACATGGGCTCTGAGACTCATATGCGATCAAGCAGAATCACATGTAGTCAGACAGACCTGGGCCCAGTTGATATCTTTGCCATTAACAGTATGGTTTTGAGCACGTTACTTAACCTCTTGGCATCTCTATTTTCTCGGTATAAATATCTCAATATGTTCTTGTGAAGATTATGCAAGATAATATCCGTGCTTAGTGCTTGGCAAAGGGTTAGAACTAATCAAAAAATAACTATTATTAATATTATGATGATTATGCTTGACATGAAAAGAAGTAATCAATTTAAAGGGTAAATAAAACTCCATGACACTTTGCAAAATTTTTATTACAGATTTACTGAGGATTTTGCCTGTACTAGCCATTCAGATCCTTTCTTCAAGTTGCTCCATCACAGAGGAAAGTTTGTTACTCTTGCATATAAAACACTTGCTTGAACTAAATAATTATCTTTTTCCAAATCAAGTGTCCCTGGGAGAAAAACAGTTTACTTTACATAACTAAGCTACCGTCATGGACTTGTTATCTTGTTAGTTTCTTCATTTCAGCATAAAGCGCTAACAACTGCTCAGGGTCACATAAAACTGTGGCCGTTGTGAAGCACTCAGTATCTCTAAAATCATATATGATTTTCCCACAGCTGAAATAGCAAGGCCCCACTAGACCCTAAAGAGACCTAATTATGTTTGTAATAACTTAATTATTAAGTTATTACAGAGAGAGAGCCAGAGTGTCACTGTCCTCCAGTCATTGTCTTTTGTTATTGAACAATTGCATTTGCTGGACAGGTTTCCTTTATCAACTTGTGAAATGCTTTCTTGTTACAATGATCCCCAGAATTTCTGGGGACATATTATAGGCAGAAATCATTTTCTAATCATATGGACTTCTTGGAATTAAAGCTCACTATTGATCTGATTTCAAACCACAAAATTAGCATGTCATCAAATACAGTATATAAACAGCCACAGAAGCTGGTAGACCATAATCCATCCAGTACTACCTTCACTTCTCTGCAATCTTGGGGAAAAGGTAAGAATTGTAGATTCAAATTTCTTGATCTTCTCCTAACCATTTATTTCAAAGTAGCTTGAGCTATAGAAAGAACACAGTGGCTTAAAATAGTGTTTGTAACTAACATTTAAGGTAGTACTAAAATGATTTTCAACACATTGGCTAAAAAGGTAGAAGTGTCCAGAATAATTTGGTAAAAAAAAAAAATTGCAAGGACATATAGCTTTCATGAGTTTAAGAAAATGTTATAACTAATTTTATACATATATATATTTAGTTTGAGGCCAGTTAATAGTTAATATTAAGAGGAGATTCAATTTTTGAATTATTTTTCCAATTTGATTTAGCATATCACAATCATAAATAGAAATATGCTTAAATTATAGTACGGGTAGATAAGTAATTACTGGAAAAACTTTGTCCAACAGGTAGTTTATAGTGGTAGCATACTGAGTCAACAAATGGAGGAAATGGTTTGGGGACATTTACTACTTTAAATGTTTATTAACAATGTTCTTAGAAGAGTTTACTCATCAAACTTGTCTAGAGCTTCAAACTTCCCAGTTTATCATCTAGTTTATAATATTTCAAAACAATATTAAAATGAGACAGAAATACAGAATTAAGTTAAAAAGACGTGGTTTACTTTGTAAGAAATCAAAGTGGTTTACTTTGTAAGAAAATTCTTAATGGGGTAGAGAAAACTTGAAAACCATAAACAAAGATAACAGATGATATAAAAGAAAAAGTAGCTTAGAGAATACCAGTAGATAATGAAGCTCTGGCTTAAAAATTGTATATAAAATGCCACTTAGAAAATATAGAAAATGCTGTGGGATCTTCCCAGTGTGTGATGATATATAATAGAGTGCTGTATTCTTTTTCTGAACCGTGAGATAAAAAATTTGGAAACTTACAGAGATCTCAGGCAAATAAAATTAATAAAGAATTATATAACATTCATAAAAATCTAGAAAAAATATTCATTTTCCATAATAGACAGAATTATGTTCAACCTTCAAATATTAAAAAGAACATTTTTCAAATAAATTAGAGACATTTTTCATGAAGTATTTTTAGTTTAAAAATTGAGTTCCAAAAATCTGAGAATGAAGATTGAGTGTCAAGTCATATTGTGGCACAAACATTATTTTGATTTAATTATAAAAAAAGTAAGAAAACATAATAAGGAGACAATTTGCTATATTTTGGGCCAAAATGTTAGCATATATTTTACAAGAAGAGGTAGTCCCAAGCTTGGCAATGTGCAAGAGGCTCTGACCTCTTGGTAGATCATCAGGAAACCTGTGTGTATATTTTAATACAGAGAAAAGAAGCCTAATGTATAATCTCTAAAGTCATGTGGCATAAAGGAGAAAGAACAGACATTATTAGCTATGTAGGGAAGAAGACTGCACAGAGGGTATGAATGGAGCAGAATCAAACTTCATAGTCCAACAAAATCTCTGGATAGTGACACAAATAAGGAAAATGTTAAAACGAAAATCTTAGTCTTATTGGAAATGAGGAGAAATAATCAAACTAAATATTCATGATAACCATTTGCTGAAAAAAAGATAAAAATAAGATGTGACTTTTCTGTACACATTTTCTTGATCAGTCTCTTCCAGTAGAATTGAGGCTCCATGAGGGCTGAGACTTTATTTTGTTCATTCCTGCAGTCCAGTTTCCTAGACAGTGTCTGACAAGAATATATTCTAAAGAAAAATTTTAAAATAATGAATACATCTTTCCATATGTATTTATAACTTCTTTATGCCTTTTTAAAAATTCAATACTGTAAAAGGGACTTTTTAAAAGTGAGGTTAGAGTTGTTAGCTGAAAAATCTGAATAGCTGGTCATGAAGTTTGGAATTTGATAAATGAGAGCAGCAAGCCATATAGATTTTGACCTTAGTCATATAACTTCTATTTATTATTTATTCTATTTGTTTTCTAAAATGCAGACATTTTTGCTATACATTATCTCTTTTTTGAAGAAAAAGTAACCTTACCTAAATAAGAAAATATATCCAATTGACCAATCTATCACCATTCCATTTTTTTCTCCATTCACAGAACTTAGTAGCCATGAAGATCCTCATTCTCACCTGCCTGGTGGCTCTTGCTCTTGCAAGCGAGGTATGTGCACAAGAAAAAGTTCCTAAACAATCAAGAAACAGTGGGCTATATGCCGATTGTGGAGAATAACATTACCAAAATTTTTTACTGTATAAATAATGAAGAATTTCATGAGAATTATCTTGGCTTCTACGAAAATCATTTATATTTACCCACTGTGTCAACACTTTCCCATAGGGCTCCAAATGCTTCCTATACCAATGTGCTGCTAGTCACTAAAGAAAAAGCAAACAGATCGCTAAGTAATACAACAAATGATAAGTTGGCAATAAAATGTAATATTGCATAAATACAATTGCACATATGCTCAATCTAGATAAATATATTATCCCAGTGATAAAAATATATATGTATCTTGTACCCTAAGACACTGGATCAAGTCTTGTGTTCGTCTATACAGAGACATTGATAGGATAAAGTACGGACATAATCATAATCATGATCATAAATATATTTATGGTAGTATAATGAAAAATATGTAAAACATATTGAAGTGACTATTTTTCTGTTACTCATCAAAAACTGTCTTTAATAAATGTAAGATAAAATATATTAATAGGAATTACTAAATAATAAAAACATTAAAGCCATTACCTTTCAAGCCTCAAAAGCTGTATAACGTTTTTTATTTATCAAATTTTTGAAAGAGATAGCTCTGCATAAATGACGTGAAAATTAAGTAGGATATATGTTTAACAATGAGCTAGCTATAGAAACTAAACTTTTAAAAATCTTTTCAGAAGGAAGTACCCAATGCATCCTCTGAAGTAAGATTTATTTTTTCAGAGAAGATTTATGAACCATAGTAGTAAAATTCTCTAATGATCTAGAAGACTTAGCAGGTCGTCATTTTTTTTTTTTTTTTTTTTTTTTTTTTTTTTTTTTTTTTTTTTCACAGACTGTGGAAAACCTTTCAAGCAGTGAGGTAAGAAAATATTGTACTCAATTTTAGGACAGTAAAATCCTGTGCTATCTTTCTATGACATTACATCATGGCAGTTAAGCTAATGCAGCTATGTTAATGACATATAAGTTCTGGTCTATATTTTCTTTATATATGTTTAAGGACAATAAATGTCTGGATAATACAACAATGTAGAACTTTCTGAATTGGCTTGATACTTGAAATTGTGTCATTTGGCTTCCTTTTTGTTTTTTTAATGTTTTGTGTCTTGAACTCTCTTTACTCTGAACTCATTCACCTTAAGTATTTATTGACAGCCTTCTATGGGTTAGACATTGAATAAGAACTGTGGTAGAAACTGAAATAATAGAGATGCCAGTGGTAGTTAAGAGCGTGCAAAGTAGTAGGCAGGCAGAAATGCAAAAGGACACATTTTATAATTACAATAGTCACTTCATAAGAAGTAGCACAGGGTAGACCTAAATCTATTGGAGAGAGTCAGGTAGCTCTTTGTTCTTACACCACGCTTCCTGGGTGTGTGATCACATGATATGTAAATGATAAATCAACAAATGGTCTCTCCACAAAGTATATGATCCTTAAAGGAAGTGTTTAGTTCTTATGATTAATTTGAAGTGAACGAAAAATGATTAACATAATGTATCAATTGTTATTGTAATCTATTTTCAATGAGTATTTTCTTTTTTAAAAAATCAGATCGAGTTTTAGAGATCATTTGTTGTCAGGGAATGAGCATGGTAGTAGAGAGAAATTAGCATCTATTAATTTTTTTTTTTGTACACTGACCAACTTGACTGCATTCATCTGATTTTCTTTTACATAACAAGCTTATATAGAACAGTGTAACACATAAGCTTTAATGACTATACAAAATTATTACTTTTATCAAACAATTATGCCTTTATTTCCTGATTTACGTTACAAAGTAAGAATTACTAAAACTAAACCTGATTTTATTTTATATTTTTCTGTAGGAATCTATTACACAATACAAGGTAAATTTCACATTTAAAATGTACATATTTTCAAAATTCCCTGTTTAAGTTTTACAGATGGTAACATATCTTTATATATGATTTATTTTTAGCAGAAAGTTGAGGATGTTCACCATGAGGAACAGCAGCAAAGAGAGGTGATTTGTTCCTGATAAGTTTATTTCTAAACTTATTGTAAAATATAATACATACAAAAATATTTATAATGGATATGTTGATTCTAAAAAATGATAATAAAATAAATGTCATATACCCGTAATGTTTAATGTAAAAAATTAAACATTGATAAAGTCAGTATGTTTTCTATGATATGCATGCATTTTGAAACCACAATTTCTAGAATATAGACTAACTACATGATCATATTACTAATGGTATATCTGTTTTCAGTAAGTGCACATTAGTGGGAATATTTCCGGGTTACTAACTATGATCCTCTTAATCTCAAGGTGGGTATGGTAATGAAAGGGTGTATACAGTTGGTAAAAACAGTCTATGTAGAATTAGTGCCATATTGCCTTTATTCCCTTAAGGAAAACACAAAATCTTGGATTTCATTAACATTTATCGTGATATATTTACCTAGTTATAATTTTCAGTTGCTTTGTGTATCAGTGAATTGTTTGGCACTCACATAAATTATTTTTAAAATCAAATTTAAGTAAAAATGTCGATGTCTCTTGAAAGACTCAAGAAAACTATTTTCTCCCAAGGGAAGAAATGCAAGAATTTGGCCCCTGTTAAACTACTTCCTGAGATTAGCCACAAATTAAGACTGATTTTCTTTTTCATTAAACCAAACCAGAACAAAAATAAACCTTGAAATTGTCCCTCTAAGTCTTTTAAAATCAATCTCTTTTCACTATATGAAAAGAATTTGGTCTATTGTTGGCACAATTGTGTTGCGAAGTAAATGCTCTCTGAAGACCAAAGTGTGCAGCTACAGTTATCCAGGCAATTCGGGAAAAGGTTAAAAAAAAAATTTCTGAAATATCCAAACATTGATTTCACTTTGGCCTGTGTAATTACTCATAAAATGAGTGGATTAAAGTCTTTTAAACACATATTATTCATTTTTCTTCATATGACTCAAGATAATTTCTCAATCAAAATAAGTGAAAAATTTTCTTCCTCTCTTTTTACTCTCTTATCACTGTCTAAAAGAGAGAAATCAGTTCATTATGAATGGCAATTAAAACTGAATCAAGGACTTCAACGATTCTTTTTGCTTCTTTCCAGGATGAACACCAGGATAAAATCCAGTCCTCTTTCCAGCCACAGCCTTTAATCTATCCATTCGTTGAGCCTATCCCCTACCCTTTCTTTCCACAAAACATTCTGCCTTTTGCTCAGCCTGCTGTGGTGCTACCTGTCCCTCAGCCTGAAATAATGGAAGTCTCTAAAGCTAAAGACACTGTCTATACTAAGAACAAAGTGATGCCCGTCCTTAAACCTCCAATGATGCCCGTTTTTCACCCTCAACTCCTGAAACACACTGCTCTTGAAAATCTTCATCTTCCTCTGCCTCTGTTCCAGCCCTTGATGCACCAGGTCCCTCAGCCTGTTCCTCAAACTCTTGCGCTCCCTCCTCAGACTCTTGCACTTCCTCCTCAGCCCCTGTGGTCTGTTTCTCAGCCCAAAGTCCAGCCCATGCCTCAGCAAGTGGTGCCCTACCCTCAGAGAGATGTGCCTGCTGCAGCCTTTTTGGCCAATCAAGAACTTTTACTTGACCCCACCCACCAGATCTACCCTGTGACTCAGCCATTTTTCCCAGTTCATAAGCCCATTAGTGTAAGTCCAAATTTACTGACTTTCTTGTTTCATTTAAGATGTGTATGTGATGTAGAATGAAAGTTTAAATGTACAGTAAATGAGTTAAAAAACAAACAAACAAACAAACAAACAAAAAACAGTTTAGTTAAGTGATCCTTAATGCTTACCTATACAATAGAATCTCCTGGAGAAATATTCCCTTGCAAATCCCAATGCCTGTGCCTACCCAGAGATTCTGATATAATTGTTCTGGTTTTCTGTGTAGAGGAATCTGAGTGTTGGGGAGCGGGGGTGGATCTATTGCATGAATTCTGATTTAATTAGTTTGTTGAGAATTCTCATTTAGATAAAGTAATTAAGGCTTACAAAAGCTGGGATTAAATTCAATAATATAATTGAATTTGGAACAAAAATGATAAAAAATGTTCTATCATTTCCCTTGTGCACATCTATTTCATACATGCTCTACTTCACATTTTGTTTTTGCTCTAAGTATATATAAAGTCAAAAGATTGAGATGCTTATTTCTCTACTTACAACATTCTTAAGCAAATTTTCTTACTAAGAGGTTAATTATTGACTTATTTGTATTTGTTTATTTTTTTAAGGTCTAAGAGTATTTCAAAGTTAATGTTCCCTCCTCATTTTTGGTAAGTTTTGGGAGTTTGGAAATTAAATTGATCATTTTTACACATGATGTCTTTTTACATTTAATTATCCTAGAGAAGTCTAAGGTAGTGAAAATTCCATATATACAAGAAATTTTTCAAATTAATTATCAACTTATTTTCACTTACTGAACTGAAATTATCTTTTGCACTTCAAATAACTTTAATCTTATTTATGTACAACTGACAGACTTGACTGGCTTGCTTTCAACGGCCTGTATACTTACATTTGATTATCATTATTTTTAGGAAAAACAGAATATGTGTCTTATTTTATTTTTATAGAAATACATTCGCATTTTTGTCAAAAACCTGCTTGCATTTTTATTTCTAACCTCGCCTTCATAAACTTTGTATTTACTTAATATTGTCTATTTCATGAGTCAAATTTACTCCAAGTATAAAGGTTAAATAGAGGAGAGAATAGCATTGCAATTTTAAGATATAAAGACTTTTGTGATTATGAAAGACTAGACATTTTACAGAAACAATTTCATGTTCACTAACATTTGGCTATATACAAACTTTATATGCCTCCAAACCACAACAAAGTACATTTGTAATAAAATTTCTTTTGTGAGTTAGTCACACCAAAGTTAAAAGTGAAGATAGATGAATAGTTACATATTATAACACAGCTAATCATATATTTTCTCTCTACTTCACAGAATATACTGAGACTGGAGATGTGATGTCTTTTCCATCTTTGTATGGAAAAGTATGCTTCAATGAATTTACATGAAAAAATGGAGCTTTATTTCTTTATTTATTTTATATATTATATGTCATCCATTTAATTTGCATTTTGACTCATGAACTATTTACATTTTCCAAATATTAATTCAACTAGTACCACAGAAGTTCAATATTCATTTGGAAGTGCTATGAACATATCAAAATATCCATAAAAATTGTTTCTGGAATTGTGCTTATTATTATTTCTTTAAGAATCTATTTCCTTCCCAGTCATTTCAATAAATTATCCTGAAGCATATTTAAGTTGTTCTGTCTTTTTTTGAAACAAAATTTTTCTCTTTAATATTAACTTTGAGTTGTTATTAATGTTCAAGATAACCTTGAAAGAATACTTTGAAATTCGAACATTTTGAATTGAATATTAAAAGATATGAAAAAGGGGAAGATAAAAAGGATGGTTTTATACCCCATGTGCTATAGAAAGTTTTGGTTTATGTCTATTTTTCCAGTGTCATTATTGTAGCTATGCCTTTCACTTTCAAAATGATCCAGCATTAGATGTTAAATTTTGTGGCGTCCCTGGGATAAAAGTTTTAAACGTGAAGTCTGAAACATAACTTGCCAGAGGGTGGTTATGTGATGCTGTAAGAGCTTTAACTTCAGGTGGATGAAATGGTCAGTGCAAAGAATTTTACTGATGTCTTGATCACATATTAAAAACATGATTTGTGTACTGTATAATGCATGACAGATGATCTCTATTGCTCCACCTTGCTGACATTGCTTGCACCAGAGCACCAAAGCATTCTACTAATCAAAATGAACTGGATAATGTGGTGTTAGCCAGAAAGTGGGCATGTGAAACTCTGACAGCCATTAATTCTAACTGTGAAGTAATCGTTTATGGTGATTATGTCACTTTCTACACCAACTCCTCCACTTGTACATTCAATTATATCTTCTTGAGTTTATGCAGTGACTCGTGTCTATCAATTATCCTATCTTTCTTATATTTCCAGTGTTTCCTTGGCCTTATTCCATAAGCATAATGGAAGACCTGCTTATGCTATAATATCTTCCATCATTAAAGAACAAAATTGCATCCTTAACAGTGTACCTCCAACCCTCTCTCAATTATTTAGATAACTTTATATCAATTGTCATACAAAAACATCCATAGTGCTGTTTCCATATCTCATATCTTATTCTATTATTAACCCACTCCAATCAAAATTTTGTCCCCCACTGAAACCACTTCATTTCAAGGTTATCAATAATTTTCACATTGCTGATTTGTGTTCATTTTGCCCAGTCTCTCAGTGTTATTTGGTAGAATTTATCATCTTTATTTCCTTGAAATATCATTCATTTCTTCATTTAAAATCCTTAACCTAATAAACCTTTGGTTTCTTTCTTTTTTTTTCTTTCTTTTTTTTTTTTAATGTACTTTAGGTTCTGGGATACATGTGCAGATCATGCAGGATTGTTGCGTTAGGTACACACATGGCAGTGTGGTTTGCCGCCTCCATCCCCCCGTCACCCACATGTGGCATTTCTCCCCATGTTATCCCTCCCTGACCTCTCCCCACTGCTGTCCCTCCCTCAGCCCCCACAACAGACCCCAGTGTGTGATGCTCCCCTCCCTGTGTCCCTGTGTTTTCATTGTTCAGCATCCAGAATGGAAAATCCAACACCACATGTTCACACTCATAGGCTGGTGTTGAACCCTTGGTTTCTTCTTTATCTCACTAACCACTTCTCAGTCTCCCTTCTTGTATTTTATCCTTTTCCAAATACTTAAAGGTTGGAGTACTCTAGGGGTTAGCCTTACCCTGGCTGATCCTGTTAAGATCCTTGGCTTTAAGTATATTCTTATGCTAACGACTTCCAAATCTATATCTCCAAACTTATTTCTGTTGTGAACTCAAAATTCATGCACTCAACTGCCTTCTTAATCTCCACATCTAATTATCTAACTAAAAATCTTATACCTGGCATGGCCTAGCATAGCTCATAATCTGAATCTTTACTCAATCTTCTCCACATTAATACATAGCCCCACACTCCTCTGTCATCAAAAATAAAAACTTTAAAGTCACTATTGATTTCTTCTTTCATCCTTGTTTTGGATTGGACAGTGCCCCTCAAAATGTCATGTCTTTCTGGTAGCTCACTATTTGGAAGTAGGTCCATTTCAGATACAATTAATTGAGATGAGGTCATAATGGAGAAATATGGACCTTTAAGCCAGTAAGACTGTTTACTGTTACAAGAAGAGACACAGACAGAAACATAGGAGAGAATGTCATGTGATGACAGAGCAGAGATTGTAGTGATGCATCTATGAGCCAATAAATACCCAAGATTTCTGGCAGCACCATAAGTTAAAGCACCAGAAGTTATTCAGAGATCATGTACCTAGTAACACTTTATTTTGAAATTTGAGCCTCCAAAACTATGAGAAAACAAATTTCGGTTGTTTTAAGTCATTTGGCTTATGATACTTTGTTACAGCAGCACTAGGAAGTTAATACAGCTTTTATACCCATTTATCAATGAGTATAGAAACTTCAACCTAAGAAATTATGTTGAATTTCTCCACTGCTCGTTAGCTCCACCATTAATAGTTTATATTGACTCATCATCATAATCTCTTTCTAAAATACTATCATGGCTTCAAAATTGACTTCTCAGTTGCCCCTTCTGCTCCTATATATTCAAGGCCTATCTGTAAAATCCAGTTTAAACAATTTTCGATTTTTTTAAGACATAGACACACTTATTCTAAATGTAAGATGCAAAAAGAAAGGCCCTAAAGTGGCTAAAGCAAGTTAGAGAAAGAAGAAAATACAAGGTAAATCACTTTTTCCAATGTTAATGCTTACATTACAGCTATAGTTATCAGGATGGTGTGATTACTGGTGGAGAGAGAGGTCCACAGATCTCAGAAACTTACAGTGAATCCATATAGGCATATTAAATATATTCAATTAAATTTTGACAAAGGCAAAAAAGCAGTTCTACAAAGTTGGAAGAGACTTTTTAGCGAATAGCACTACATCAATTGAACATCCACAGGTAAATTTTTTAAATAGCCTCAATCTCTCACTGTATACAACAATTCATTTTAAACTAATCAACAGAAAACCATAAAATTTTTAGAAAAAAGGAGAAAATCTTTGTGATATAGAAGTAGGCAGAGTTCTTTGACACCAAATGATGTCATACGCAACAAAAGATCCATACCAAAAAAAAAAAAAAAAAAAAAAAATCAACCCATCAAAATTAGAAACAAAAAAAATACCCTGTTAAGAATACCAAAGAAAAAATTACTTTTGTTCTAAAATCATATTTGTAAATCATACATCTGATAAAAGAATTACATATAGAATATTATTTAGAAAACTCTAAGGAAATTACTAAACAGAAACAATCTATTAGTAATTCGGCAAAATGCACTATGAGACATTTTACCAAAGAGAATCTACATTTGGCAAGTAAACACATAAAAAGATGATATTCAACTTATTACCATCATGAAATGCACATTGAAATTACAATGTGATATCACTGCCAACCTATTAGAGTGGGTAAAAAGATGTAGTTGTCCCTAATGCTGATAATAATGCAAAGAATCCAGGCCAATTATTCATG